GGACCTCCCCCTCCCCCACCGCCCCCCGGATGTGGGCCGCCACCTCCTCCGCCGCCCTTCGGGGCCCCAGGTTTTCCTCCTCCACCACTTGCATTGCCTGTTGTCAAGCTGCCTTATGGGCTGGAGCAAAAGAAGACCTACAAGCCTGAAACTGTGATGAAGAGGGTCAACTGGACCAAGGTATGCTTACCTGAGCATCAAGTTACTGTAATGTTGTCTTATTCACTGATATTATCAATTTGAGACTGTAAGGGAAATAGTATTCTCATGTTTTTATATGAAATATTCTGCAGTGTATTTACAATCACACATGCAGACATTTTGCACTGGCTTTAGCGGATTCTTGATTTTGAAGACCCACACAACAAAAGATGCGAAATTGAAGGTTCAAACCAAAAGGAGCTCAACTCAAATGCACTCTTAATCTAGTCAAACAGTCATTCAGCCATAGGCTACAATATCCCACACGCGACACCCAATTGAAAGGATTCAGCAGTAAACAATTTTCACTGCTCAAATGTCCTTGGATTTGCACATTCTAAGCGTAATTGAATGAAGACTTGTTTGTGTAATGTTCCATCACATTTGAATACAATTTCAATGGGACATTCTCTTGCATCTGGGCTCTATTTTACCATAGATAATGAATCCATTGCCCCAGGAGTTCTCAGCATTAATTTAATGGTTCTTCACTGATACTTGTGTGACCTTGCATTTTAGTCTAAAATTACTGACTGCAAGCAAAATAACAGGCTCATTGTTTTGACATCATGCTAATAGTGCAAGTTATATTTAATGGTTTGAGTGGAATCGCGCCACGTATTAACTAGAAGAGCACTCAGAGAGCGCGGCCCTCCGCCAAGGCCAATGCCCTGTCACGCAAATTTAAAGAAACTGATCCGGATTTGCACCAAAATTTACTGGATTCTTGCTCTACCTCTTTACCAAGTTTCAGCCATGTATTAAAAATAAATGTTTAGGGCCATTGCGGTTATCTTTCCAAGTTTTCTTTGTTTTCGAAAGAGTAAACAATCAGGTATATTTTTCCTTTTGTGGCGCATTACTTATTCAACAACAGACTGCCAAACGACAGAGTTAAAGCGAGAAAGAAGTATGGAAATAGAAGACAGTGTTGACTATTGCATTAAAAGTGACCCGTTGTGGCTTGAATCATCTGTCACCTCAAGAAATCTTTAAAATGCCAAATATGCAAATGCTTGACTCTGTGTGGGAGTTTCCTCTACAGTATGTAAAATTATTAATAGTGTCACACAGCAGTATGGAATATCATACCCACTGTGTAAACATTAGGGAAAACAACAGTTTGGTTTTGAATTTCTTAATACCAGGTGGGACTGTGTGCTTGTTTGTGCCTTAATATTTTAAAAATCATTAGCTATTTTCTTGTGCATTGTCTATGCCCTTTTGCATACATGATTAGTGTGTATGTAGTGCAGTACAAAATTCCCATTGTCTGGGAAGTATACAGAAACAGGTTAATGTGCAGGAACATTAACCTTGCCTCCACAGGAAATGTGGTTTGGTGATGCAAATGCAATTCATAACCACCTGAGTCTATGTCTGTGTCTCTTGTGTCGATTAAGTGGGACATGAGTCGTCTGTCTTCTCAATGCGCAGCAGATGGAAGTATGGGAGTGCCAGGAGCGACTAGGATTTGGTTGTGTAAAGAAGAAAGCGGAAAGAAAAGATATTTTTTTGATAACTACATCCTCTTTGTCCTCTCCTTCATACGTTATCAAACAAGAGCATTGTTCACATAGACAAAAACGTCTTCGACGTTATTAAGAAAAACAGACTTGACAAGATGGTTTGATGTGGTTAGCTGAAAGTCCAGGACATACTGCAACATGTGTACACAGATCTACACATGCATACTAATAAAACATGCATCGTAGCATGCATACAGTAGATTTTTACATCGTGTAACTAATTACATTTGCAATTACAGCACAAGTCCTCCAGTCAAGCAAGGGAGGTGGTGGAAGTGCATTATAGCCAGAAGCAGTAGTACAAGACACTCACATGGGACAAGCCTATCACAGGCGCACACTGGGAAATGTCAGCTTTGTTTAAGTGCTAAATTAATTTTAAATCAGTTATTGTTTCCTGCATGTACTTTCGCATTAGTCTATCAGTAATTCCCACAGAAAATTATTAGTGAAGATTAAGTAGGGTACTCTGCAAATGACAAAATAAACAACACACATATAATTTTGTTCTAGAGTCCATGTCAGCAAGAAACCCATTACAATTTATATAATTACATTTTAATATAATATTGCAGTACTAATTAAGAATATCTGTAAACATATGAGAATGGCAGAACAAAAGGGAACATGGAATGGATGCGATGGGATGAAGGAAATAACTTCTGTTGTACAGAGCACCATGAGACTGGTTCGTGTTTAAGCTTAACATTAGCGCATTATCTCCAGTTTTAACGAACGCCTTTACTCAAACAATGAGATGTCATCTTTATTCTGCAAAGGCCCGGCAGGAAAATCCAAGAGTCGCCTGCTGAGCTGAATGTTAAATACCGAAATATTAAGAAAATTAGAAAATAAATGCCTGCTCATCCGGTCTTGTTTTAAACAAGTGTTAGATGATTATACCAAGCATTTAACACTTTATTCAATTATCATATGATCACACACACAAAATAAAAATGCCCCGGTACTTTCCTGATGGCACTAAATTTAACTTATATGGTGCATCTGGCCCAGAGTTTAAACTGTTATGTCAATTACTTTAAGTTCATGTCGTCCTCATTGTGTGACAGTCATACTTTTGAAGGTACATTATAGTAATGCTCCTTCACGTTTTAATCTGGTACATAATAAATATTGAATTATTAGGCAGTTATATAGCAAATTCAATCACAATCACAATTCCCCAATCCTTCCAGCCCGATAAAGAATACATGATTTTCAGCTTTCACATTCACTGCAGGTTCGAATTGTTTAAACATGTTAAAATGGACTGATGTGGTTTTCTAATAAAGGGAAAGCTTTTATTTACCAGTCTTGCTAAAGTGATTTAATTATGAGTGAATAAACCAATAACAATGCTATTTTAAGCAGTCCTTGGTTTGCTGTTGAATCTTAAATGATTAATTAGCATTTGTTTGTTGTTATTATTATTAGTAGTACTTATTAGACGCAGTAGCAGTGGCTGTGTCGGTAAAACAGTAAAACATCCAAGGTATGAATCATTACATAATTGAATTTTGTCTATATTTTCTGGTTCACCTTTTCTCTAAATTAAGCTATCACAGAGATGACAGATGTGTTCCAGGACTTTAAGTGGGTTTTATGAGAGCAAATAAGAGTACAGAGGCACTTTGTTATCTATACTCAATACCAAAACGAGTTCATGTTGAAAGTTTCATAAGCCTCCATTAAAGCACCTAGAGACTCTGCAGCACCGTTACACTTATCACAGTTACTCTGTGGCCTTGAGAACGATTGCCCGATATCAGCTGGAACTCCGTCTGTGTTGCATAAGTGTTGTGCTTACACCTCTTTCTCTGTGTAATTACTGTGGTTTTAAGGAGGTTAATGGCAGCAGTGCAATAGGTCAAGTGCTAGTCTAGGCCTTCGATAAAAAGCCACAACAGCAGTACTTTACGAGCTCTCACCACAGCACTTAACGCAATGCACGGCAGAAGCACTGTAGTGTCACACGCATTATTAGTTAGTAATAGCTGGAACATGTTAGAGGGGTTTGTTTTTGTTTGAACCTCTCCGTACGCTTGTGATAGTTTCTCGTCTACTGAGCAGCACCTTGGGAATGAGGGAGGCGGGGTTAGGAAGCATCCCCGTGGCTGCTATCATCTCAGTTGGTAGGCGCTTGGTTGCATTTTAGAGGCTTTCCTGGTTCACCCAAGTTGAGCGGGGGAAGAGTGTAAAAGCAGGCCTGCTAAGATGTGCCTGGTTCACTCAGGGTCTATGCACACTTCATCATTTAGCATGGCCACATTCATGTGATTCGTTATCACACAAAAAATTGTACCACTAGCTTTCCTGTTGCGTTTTTTCGTGTTCGCCACTTCAAGGCTAAAAACGCTGCAGAAGGCATGTGTGTGTCCACGCACAGAAAAAACACTCACAAACCCCCATCTCCAGTGAGAAGAACTTTTGAGTGGCAGCTTGGTGGAATGACGGTTTCTGATTGTGGTGATAATGGAATCCTTGTGTCATTGCAGATAGTGCCTCAGGAAATGGCAGAGAATTGCTTCTGGATCAAAGTCAAAGAAGAGAAGTTTGAGAATCCTGACCTATTTGCTCAGCTCTCCCTCTGCTTCTCCTCACAGAGCAAAGGTAAGGAGGTGTCATCTCTCACCACCTTAATTAATCTAATCATACATGCTTCATTTAGCCTCTCCGGCAATAGATGCCAAGCTACTTTCATCTTGTGACAACAGATTTTTCTCACTGAAATGTTAATTATCTTAAAACCAAGCCCCTCTTCCACTGCGTTTTAACACTGTGCTCTCTATTCAAATCTCTATGCCAATTAGAGATAACAGTGCTCCTGTTGCAGTGTGTTTATGAGTCTTTGAGAAAGTTGGAAATACCATGTGGCTGCACATTGTATTTGTTCTTTCTTTGTACCCATTGAGTTGTTTCAGATCAGTGTTTTGTGTGTGTGTATGTGTGAGTGTGTGTGTGTGTGTGTGTGTGTGTGTGTGTGTGTGTGCACTTACTTGAACTTGTACATATATGTGTGAACTAAGAGCAGCTATGCTTGGTTTGCCTCTTGCCTTTTCCAGTCCAGTAGACCAATCTTCCATCAGGGAAGATGGGAGGCTTTGGTGAAGGAAGCTCTGGGAGTTTACTTGTAGCGGCCAGTTTGTTTCTCAGATACACAACCAGGCTACCTAACTTGCTGATGAATAACACCAGCAGTGCAGAGCAAGTTTGTTTTTATATGCAAGAGGGTGTGTGAAGGCACTTGATGTATTCCTCCCATGACAATTTGAGTGTTTTCCACTTCTTTGACAGTGTGTGTGTATTTATGTGTGTGCAGCACACCCCTCTAATTCTAGCAGCAGTGGGAGGGGAGAAGTCAGAGCCCTGTCAAGCGCAGAACAGTCAAATCGGAGCTCTGTCAGCGTGTGTGGACATAACTATACAGAATCCTCTAACTTTTCCCATATACCCACCGTCTGTTTGGACACCAGTCAGCCCGCCAGCAGCCTCTTTCTCTCTGTTTCTCACAGCCTCAAGGTCTACAAACTAGACTGCGCTCTTTTTTTGTACTGTGAAATAAATAGCAATTTTCCCTGGGCTGCCGCAAGGTGATTTACTGGCATAATACAGATGGAAGGAGAATGCGGTTTGCAAAGAACAGTTGTTGCAAGACTTAATGAAGTGGCAGGGGTAGGCTTGGTAGCTCTGCCACTCTTCTCTTGTCTTTCACCAGAGGGTATCTGCCAGACACTATTTTATTTTATTTTATTTTTTATAAGTCTAAAATATTCGAAGGTCAAGATACCCAATAATTATTTTTTTTTAAAAACATCACTTTTATTTGACTAATTAATGCTATTCAGTAGTACATTGTAAACATTATGTTCAAATCAGAACTATGTGTTGCAGAGCACATCTGTTCTAAAATACATTTTCAGATAGCTTCTTAGAATAAAATACAACTTAACATTTAGAGTTCCACAGACATATGGCTGTAATTCAGCTTTAAATGTCCTCTTAAATTCTTTATTAAATTCACTTCCTCACCCACTGGGGTTTAAAAAAAATCTCTATAGATAGTCCATATTCCCGCTGGCAGGGTAGGAATTCATGATCCAGCATTTCCCCCGGGAGTTACCTTTGCTGGATCCCTATCAATTACCCCTGCAGCGACTTCACTGAATCAGCTCTTTTCCCTCTATTGTTGAAACAGAACATGATTTGCTCATGAATGAAAAATGCTGTTTAATGTTTGATATCCACCCCCTACCCCTTCAGTGAAGTTGAAAGTCAATGAGAGGAGCTTTGATGTAGATGGTATTGCAGAAAAAGGTGCTAGATGGGATTTTCCTAAAATGAGATAGTAGTTCATTTGTTTTCCTCTTTTCGGTGTTTCATGATTCATGCAGTATAGTCAAATGCATTCCATCTGAGGATAACTGCGCTTGAACATTAAACATTTGGTTAAAAAGATCCCCGCCTTATTTCTGCTTTGAATCTGACCTGTGGTATATGGGTGTAGAATCAGCCTTCATCTCAAGCCCAGTTGTTTAACTGAAATTGGTGGAGTTTAAAGCGGTTTTGGGGGTTCAGGTGGTGAGGGCAGCGCTTGCAAGATTAATTCCTGAGGTCTTTTGCTCTCATTCTAACCTCTCATTGTAACTACAGACCATAAATCCTTTGTGCTGATTTGACAAACAAGTCACTGGTGAAAACCGACTTCATTTGTCTGGGATATTGCCACCGTTTTTTTTTTTTTTTTATTACACACATACACACTTGTTGGTTTTTCCTTTGCTTCTTTGTGGTACCTCCATCTTTGCCACACGACGTGGATATTTATAAGTAAAGCACACTTTGGGGGCCCAGTGTATCGTGAAAGATGAGGCAAGCAGGTGCAAATGCCTTCCCTGCAGAGCTGCCCTCAGAAAATGGTGCAAAAAAGGCTTCTGTTATCTCCACGTTCCTTGGGATTCTTGCTTGTTACTTGCATTGTTGAAGAACAACACTTTGGCAGTAAAAGAAAAAAAAAGAAAAAAAGAATCACTTTAACAGCCCCCAATTTTCAGATGCTTATTGCGCTCAGAGGCCTCTAAAACAACTGAGAATGCAAGACTGTCATCTCCCCTGCTGCTTTTATGAGTCTTACTGTTTAATGAGCTTTACCAAGAAAAGGAAATGATAATCAAGAGGGATTTCAAGCTTGGCTTCAATCTTGTAAAAGTGGCTCTTTATTTTATTTTTTCTTTCTTTGTCATTTATTATGAGATGGTTCTTTGGCCTGACTGAAAACTTACACAAAAGTCACTTCTTTGGTACTTGGAGGCCATAGACACGTAACCGATTAAGTCATACTGGCAGCAGTGAGTTGTTTTGCACTTTTTTCTCTTCTGTTTCTTCTTTTGTCACATGCGTCAACACACACACACACACACACACACACACACACAAAACTTAACAGAAAACACACATTTCAGCAGTGCGTCGTGAACATATGAAAAATACTCACCATTGCGTAAAACCAACCGTGTAAACTGAATGAGGTCAGTTTGAATCAGGAAATAACTCTGAATAATATCACAAGAACCTAGAAAGAAAGCAGCACATTAGTTAACTATTTCTTTGGTTTTATGCACATAATGTATGTATTTGTACATCTTAATGTGTAACACAATGTATACATGTGAATAAATATTTAATTTAGATAGCAGTGCTTTCCATTAATTTGCCTTTCTATTGTTCTGATCATGTTGTATGCAAATATTGTAGAAATAAATAGAATATAATTATAAATATATATGCTCATAATAAATTCTAACGTGGAATTAATTAGCTAGATATTAGCAAACAATCATTGTCACAGTGTTGAGAATATATCCAGAGTTAACCAGAAAACAAAGACAGAATTAACCTTGACTTCAATTGTTACACCACTTTAACATAAACATTGCAAAGTGTACAAAATGTATTGTAATTTCATTTATCTTTTCCTCAATTTGAAGTTGGCATGTTCATAAACTTATCAGTCAGAGCTGTTTACAGTTTAGAGTTTACAGTTTTCTTGACTGTTCTGATAGTTTTGCAAAAAAAATAAAAATCAAAAAATCTTTTAATGTAACAGTTTACTATTGCAAGAAAATAATACACTATAGGGCTCTTTTTAAAGTAAAGAGCAACCTGTTGAAAAATCTGATTTCTTAGCCGTACATGCTTCTATTGTATTTATTAATAAAATAGCATTTGTCCTGTTTGTAGTATCAGCCTTATTTAAATGAAATGCTGTGCTCTGTTTCGCTGTGGGAGGAATGAACCATATGTTTTTTACTGTGAATTGAAAATGTGTTGCACTCAAATGTATCCTTCAGTCACCGATGTCAAGGCAGGTATTTCACCTTTGGCATCATTGTGTGCTTTATGATCAGAAAATTGTTACCACCCACGCATAGAGCTGGAAAATCTGTTATCACAGACAGACATCTCTATTTTCTCCACTCACCACCCGGCGTTTTCACATCTTTATAACTTGTGTACGAGACATTAAATGAAGCCTGTAGAACAACCTGGCCATGCCGTAGAGTTATTTTATTCACTATTCAAATAGTTGTTTGTTTTTTTTCCCTTTTTGCTTTCTTTCCTTTGTCTTCTTTCTTTCCTTTTTCTTTTTCCCTCCTGTCTGTCTCTACTTGGATGTATTGGCTTTTCCCTTTTTCTTTACACTCTTCTCCATTGACTTCTCTCTCCCTCTCTCTTTTTTTTTTTTTTTTGCTCTCATCTCCCCTCAGTTCGCTTTATCAATCAGTGGGTTGTGCCTTTGTACGGCTCTTGGGATCAAATCAGATTCACTCTGGGATTGAATGTGTGTAGCCATGGCCTCCTGCATTTGAAAGGCAATTCATTCAGCTGGAACTTTGCAGTTCAATTTGAAACAAGATTGATGTTGGCAAACTTCACACCCCCTTTCTTCCAAAATGTTTCCTCCATTGCCCACATCAATTGCTGACGGACAAAGGGCATATGCCACTTTGTAATGGTGATGTCTGGGCTTCTCAGCAGAAACAACACATAGAAAGAAAGGCGGTTACTCAACAACAACTGAATGCCCTGCATATACTGTATATTTCAATATGCAATCAGTCAGAGTTCTGTAAATATTAGAAATGATAAAAGCCACCTCTGATGATTAATGACAATAAGGTGGATATATCCTCTCCAGTCAATGATTAAACACTTAAAAATGCATCTCTATGAAACCCCAGAGGTCTGACTCTGTTATTGTTAACTGCTTATTGGTTCACTGCGGTTTTGACATGGAAATGCTTAGCCATGTGTAGGCTGCTTATTTGGCTCATGATGTGTCTTCCAGCATATAAAAACTCCATATAGACATGTTAATAAGGTTGAAAAAAACTACTACTATAGCTTGAAATTCAGGAGCACTCAAGTTTTATCAAAACACTCATCACTTTAAAACAAATCCAAAAAAAGGTTTGGAAATACACTCACAGAAAAAGAAGACATCAAAGAATGGTGTAATTGTAAATACATACACCTTGACAGAGTTTTAAACACATATTTACACATTATTTTCAATGTGTCCAGTTCTTTTTAACGTATAATGTATTAAGAAA